CGGAACAGTGATGGTGACACTGCTGCCCCAGGAGACTCCGGCTCTGTGGCGACTGCCTCGCTGACGCTGCAAAGAGTCCGACCATCGGGCCTTCCACTGTCAGGAGGCTCCCTCTGAGCAGTGCTATCACCAAGAATCTAATCTCCAGGCCTACTGCTGCCACCAGGAATCCCCACTGTGGGCACTGCTGTCATCAAGACTCTAATTTTCTATTAAAGAGCTAGCCAATGATAAGTTGGCAATTAAGTTAATGGATGTATTGAAAATTCGTTTATTTTCCAGTTTAATGTACGATTGAGATCTGATTAAATCAACATAGCAATGTCCATTTTTGTTCTTTTGTCTCTTTTGGTTGCAAGTGGCTTTTGGATCTTGTCTAACCAAAAGCTCATTTGTCTAAAGTCGCTCTCACTGATTCACTTATTTTCTGGCTTTTTGATAAATGTTAATGATTTAAAACATGTAAGATAAGGTTATAAGAATCTGTATAAAAGATAGTGTTGGTTAAAAAGTACTTGAAATCAAAATTAAATTGAAGCAGGAACAGTCATAAGGAAAGAAAAGTGAGATAAGGAAGCACAAGTATAAAGTTTACTTCTCATCCCAAGTGCATGATCTTCCTTTTGGGCTTCGGGACTGTGTTGTAAGTATTAAATGGTGTTTGAGGAACAAATTTTCCCCAAATTGACCACTTGCTATCCAATTTAGATAGTGGTGGGCACTCAAAGACAACAGACTAATCGCAGGCACTGAAAAAGACAATTGGTTTCTAATGTACATGGAGGAAAATGCAACAGGAACTTGGAGGGACCTCTTTCCAACTACTTTTCCTTTTGCAATAAGGAAAAGTACCCTTGAGCAGCTGGGCCGGTGCTGCAACTGAAGCCAGACAGTTGGGGAGAGGCTGTAATCCTGCCTGCAGTTCGTGTTCCATGCATACTTCCAGAGATGGCCTTTGGCTAGCCACACATTTCCCTCCTACCTGTAGGACCAAGAGACAAACAAGGAAATTCCAGCCAACCTCCAATTATTAACCATAACAGACCTTTAAGTGGCTACACTTTGGTTGTGTGTCTGTAACCCACTCCCATTCCCATTCCCAGTTGTTCCCCAATCCTCTCCCCCATTGGTAATTGCCCCAGGGACAGGATCAGAGTCCGGAATTGGTACAGTGGCTGGCAGCCTGAATTTATAACCCACCTGCCTCTCTCTCTGCTGTGCCCTGTTGTGATGTAAACATTCAGCTCTAAGTAGCTTTCTTTTACATTAGTGTACTTGTAAAAATATCCACAGGTGTAGTTAAAGTCTACTTGTTTTTCAAATTTTTATAGTAATTTAGAAGTTAGTGTTTTGCAATCTTGAAAGGGCATTCAATACCCAGAAAGCTATGGTAATTGTGTAAGGTTTTGAAGTTTCAAATCTTTTCACTACAGGTTTGTGTTGCTTAACATCTTTCAAGGGACTATCACATTATAAATTATGATAGACAAATAAATCTTGTGCTTAATATTCAAATACTCTGTTCTTTGCAGGCTTGCATTTTTTGAAATCAATTATCAGTTTTATACCACACAACAGCTTCAGTGGGAGGTAATCCGACATTATTCTAAGCAGGTATGTACAATATTTCATGTGCAGTTTTAAATATTATTACTTAATAATCCCACTCACCACGACAAGTATTTATAATATTAATTTGTTTTTAAACAATTTCTGTTTCTCTCTCCCTCTAGGCAATCAAGCAATTGTATGTGCTTGTCTTTGGACTAGATGTCTTGGGCAATCCTTTTGGTTTAATCAGAGATTTATCGCAAGGAGTTGAAGCATTTTTCTATGAACCTTATCAGGTCAGATTTCAATCTATAAACTACTTAATACATAGGCTCTTCATTTGGAATGCTGTAGTCATAAATCAAATGTATATTGTAGGGAAGATCTTTACTTGCATTGCTCAGATCAGCTTGCAGACTCTGGCACCTCCGTCCGATTTCAGAGTCAGCAGATCAACGGTTGACATGATTTGGTCACTTCCACAGTTATTGCAGAATTGCTGCCCTACTCGACAATGATTAAACATGGCTAAAAGGACAAACAAAGTCTGAGCTTTTCATTATGCAATTATCAGGACTGACACACAAGAAAGAGCCTTGGGAAAAGGAACACCGATTTATGCAACATGAGAAGAGACTGCTGAATAGTTGGGTCATAGTTGACATGAAGTCAAAGCGGGAATAGTTAACTTCCATTCTCCCCCTTCCCAGCTCTGACAAAGGGTTTTGGCCTGAAACGTTGACTTCCCTGCTTCTCGGATGCTGTCTGATCTACTGTGGTTTTCTAGCTCCATATGTATTGATTCTGGCTTCCAGCATCTGCAGTCCCTACTGTCTCCTGAACAGAGAATGCAGTAGGTATGGAGAGTTTGCAACACCTTGCCATTCTTGTACATTTAACCGTTGTAGCCACTGTACATCTACCAACAAAATTATGACCAGAAGCTCAGAATGTGGAAAACTAATTCTAGCCTGTTATGCATCTGTCATTTCATTTCTTGGATACTTGAAGTCTGAGCCCTAAACTTTATTGATTTATTTTTTGTCAGTTTCACTGAAATACAGTGAAAAGCTTTGTTTGAGTGGTACAGGCAGATCATAGTAAGCAAAGGATGTACAGATCAAAAAGGCTGAGAGGTATACAGGTTACATTGCACAAGATGTGTCCTAGGTGAGACCATAGGATCTTTAAACTTGTAATTAGATTTAAAAGAGCATTATTAGTAATTTTTACAAATTTGGAATTAAAGTTTAAAAGTGTGGAACAGTTATAAGAAACGTTAGAGTTAGATCTGCTGTAGGGAGGTTGTAAGGAGTCTTCTGGTGTTAGCGGCATAGAACATAGAACAGTACAGCACAGTACTTCGGCCCACAATGTTGTGCCACTTTATTAACCTCTTTTTCCTTGGCTCAATGTAATATTTTTTAATTATAGATCTTGTGAAGCAATGCAGATCTCTTCACATGATTATGCTTTTAGGAAATGCAGACCCATATATAATCTTTATTAGTGATTTAATGTGCAATGCCTTAACAGCTGGTTTGCAAGGGGTGAAAGGGTACCCTTTTAAAATATTTTAAAAGATTTATTGTAACATGCATTTGGTGTTCGGACAATAACAGCAACTGTAAATAGCAAGCTTACATATTAGTCGTTTTAAAGATAAGTGTCTTTTTCCCTCCTCCAAAGTCTCATCGTTTTCAGTTTGGATTTGATTTGCTTTCAGCAGGAAGTTCGAATCATAGCCATAGAGATGTACAGCACAGAGACAGGCCCTTCATTCCAACTTGTCCATGCTGACCAGTTATCCTAAATTAGTCTAGTTTCATTTGCCAACTTTTGGCCTGTATCCCTCTAAACCCTTCCTAAACACATACCCATCCAGATGCCTTTTAAATATTGTAATTGTACCAGCCTCCACCACTTTCCTCTGGCAGCAGGGAAGGTGATGGTCTAGTGATACAAAGGCTGGACTGTTAATCCCGAGACCCAGAAAACATTCTGGGGATCCGGGTTCAAATCCTGCCACGGCAGATGATGGAATTTGAATTCAATAAATATCTGGAATTTAGAGGCTAATGATGACTGCGAATCCATTGTCAATTGTTGGAAAAACCCATCAGGTACACTAATGTCCTTTAGGGAAAGAAATGCCATCCTTACCTGGTCTGGCCTACATTTAACTCCAGACCCACAGCAATGTCGTTGACTCTGAACTGCCAATTAGGGATGGGCAGTAAATGCTGCTTAGCCAGTGATACCCTCATCCTGTGAATGAATTTTAAAAAAAAAAAAAGCTCATTCCACACATGCACCACCCTCCGAAAAAGTTATCCCTTAGATCCCTTTTAAATCTTTCCCTTCTCTCCTAAACCTCTAGTTTTGGACTCCTCTACTCTGGGAGAAAAGACCATGTCTATTTACCCAATCCATGCGTCTCATGATTTTATCAACCTCTACAAAGGTCACTTAGCCTCCAATGTTCCAGGGAAAATAGTCCCAGCCTGTTCAGCCTCTCCCTATTGCTCAAACCCTCCAACCCTGGCAACATCGTTGTAAATCCTTTCTGAACCCTTTCGAGTTTCACAACATCCTTTCTATAGCAGGGACACCAGAATTGCACGCAGTATTCCAGAAGTGGCCTAACCAGCGTTCTGTACAGCCACAACATGACCTTTCAACTCCTATACTCAATGCACTCACCATTAAATGCAAGCATACCAAATGCCGCCTTCACCGTCCTATCTACCTGCAACTCCACTTTCAAAAAAACTATGAACCTACTGTCCAAGGATTCTTTGAGCAGCAACACTCCACAAGATCTTACCATTGACTGTATAAGTCCTGCCCTGGTTTGCCTTTCTACAATGCAGCACCTCAAGTTTTATTTAAATTAAACTCTATCTGCCACTGTTTGGTCCATTGACCCATCTGATCAAGATCCCATTGCACTCTGAGGTAACCTCCTTCGTTCTCCACTGCATCTCCAGTTTTGGTGTCGTCTGCAAAACTACTAACCATACGAGAATTTGTCATCCATCCCTTTGTTGCATGAGAATGGTGGTGAGCTATTTCCATGAGGCAGTGCAGTGTGTAGGTATGTCCACCATCAGTTGTCTGGATGGCTGATTTGACATGCAGTGATGCCAACAGTGTGGGTTCAATTCCTATACTCAGAGTAGGTTACTCTGAAGGACTCTTCTTCTCAACCTTTCCCCTCACCTGAGGTGTTGTGACCCTCTAGTTAAACCACCACTAGTCATCTCTGTCCTTACTGGTCCATTAGAACTATGACAACTTTAACTTTTATTGCAATACCTCTTGTAGAGAGCAGCTTAAGAATAGTATAAGGTAAAATTAATGTTTCTTAAATTGCAACTAGATGTATATCAGTCATACTGTGTAATTCTGTGCTCAAAGAAACCTATATAAACTTTTATATTTTACAGAACATTATATGCCATGCTGTCAAAGAATTTGATATCGGTGGGCCACGAAGGTATGTAGCTTTGGTTTAATAATGTGTCTGCATTAACTACTTTCTATTTTGTCACTTTTAAGGAAGGGTTTTGCGAAGGGAAATTCAGGAGGAAAATCTGTTCGAAATTGGCATCAGAATAAAATGCATGTTAGTGACTGAAGTTTTTTCATAATTGTAATTGAGCTTTAAACATACCTGCTTCAAGAAACAATGCTTTGTGCTTTAGGCCAACAACGATTGCAGTTGCACAGTAAAATAAAGCATTAACCTGCAAAGGCATAACCCTGTGCTGTTTGCTCACCATCTTGTACAGGTCATGGAAATGGTTTCGATGTCTGAATCAAGTAGGCCAAAGCCGATATTATACTCTGTCATTACCTGCAAGTGATTATTACTGGTGATGTTGAATACTCAACTATAGCAATATTTTTCTCTCCTAATAGCATATTCTTGTTAATTCTGAATGCTCTTTATTAAAGAGAGTGGTCAGAGAGCTGGGAAGTTTCTAGATTAGTTGAAGTATTATAATGTTATATTTGGGCTTTAGCTGAATGGTTTAATTTAGTTTCATGGCGTAAACATTCTTAGTTTTGGTTTAAAACAACCAAATTGTCAGTTCATAAATGACACAATTATGCAATCCATCAATTAATTTATTGGTGCTTTTTTTCATTCCAAACGGCATGAGTTCGCTGATAAAATCCATCCATTTTTACAAAACTGGAGATTTCTTTACTTCTCTTAGTTGAGGAAACTTGCCAGTATCTCCAAGTCTATTTTTGTGATAGACTGAGCTTGCCCTATTTGTTCCATATGACAGCCTCCGGATAGGATATCAGTCCTGTTTTGTTACCATGTTGACTTTGCAATAATGCAGAATCTTTGTGACCAATCCTGTTCTGAGACCATCACAATAGGTGAGCTCCAGCAACTTTGACTTGTTTCAATAATGCCATTGACCATTTTATCTTAACCTCTTTGGATTGAGTTTGTGCAGGTGTTACTTTATGGGTAATGCAATCCCACATCAACATCAAGAGCTGCCAAAACCATTATCTCTTGCTTCATAAATTGTGTTTATAATTCTGTAATGGCTTTCGTAAGTCACCTCAGTAGAAGACATTATAAATTGGAAAGAAAGATAGATACTGGACAGAAGCTAAAAGTATGCTTGTATAGTACCCAAAAACAGTACAGTTACTCACACCACAATCTTCTCAAACACCTTGATAGATTTGAGTCACTTCTCACTAATTTATGGACTAGAAGACTGGAAATAGCTTCTTCCTGAGCTATCATACGCCTGAGCTTAATGGACTCGGCATTAACTAATCTCATTGGAGTTTAATCCCAACACTTTTAGTCTGGCACTAATTCTTTAAAATAATCTTGCTTCTCTAATTCTTCCATTCTCATGAGCACTGGCTATGAAGCCATCTTTGTCCAAGGACTTCACAGAATTGCTCTAAGCCCTGTCATAAAGTGTTACCACTGTACACACAAACCCATAAATTTTAATGCTGGACCTCAAACTGTTTTAAAATAAATCACTGTGGCGACAGAAAATTAACTAATTAATTATTAACCACACTCGCGCACCTAACTCAACACCAAAAGCCTAAACTTAAGTTGAATGATACTAAAGAAAATGAGTCATATGCCTACATCATACTAGTAGTGCAGTGTTGGAGCAAGCTCTAGCTTTCTCCAAATTCTATTTTGTGATGCACGTTGTCTATTCGCCATGCAGTGTAATGCTGCAGATTTACCTGGTTACCAGAAATGATCATTAGGCCTGCTATATAGAATAATAATTTCAATCCAAACTTTACCAACAATAAGTTTTCAATTCTATATTTATCATGCTTTCCTCCAAAAGAAAGTTAGTCCCTGGTTGGTCATTGAGCTGCTCTCGTTGGAAAGGAGCGTCAATACTTGATACAGCTTAGATATGGCAATGGTAACTATGCAATTAAGTATAGTATAGTTATCCATGATCAAAGCCTGGATATCCTCCATAGCGCTGTCACTATTTAATGTGCAAAGTTTTAATTAAGCTGAAAAACTAACTGTATGAAGTGTTGATCTATGATATGCATCTTGGGCGAAGTGTGCTTGAAATCCAGCCCTACTATTCTTGGAGTCATCACAAAGTTATAAGGTTTTAGAAAGTATGCAGAATTTCTCAATCTACCTGTCTCTTAGACCCAACTTGAATAGACCGTACAGTGTTTCTGTACTTAATAAGACTTGCTATTTATCACAAGTAAATAAAGTCTAACTACAGGTAAACAATTATGAATTGTCAATATTTAACTCTACTAGTTAAAATGCTAACCTTATAAGCGTACACGCACACACACACACCAAAAAAAAGGGTGTTGTAGGCAGAGGAAAGAGTTTTGGAAAGCAGTTTGGTGGTGCCAGTCTATTAAGGTTTGCTGAGATGATCCTTTTGCTGATTTTTATCTGTCACATGTCTATTGAGATTTTATCATTGGAAAAGTATGCTTTTTTTTCAACATATCTTACTTGTCCCTTTCAAATTTATATTGAAATATTCATGCTTTGTAAACCAAATTCCCCCAATAGGGGAGGCGATGGCCTCGTGGTATTATCACTGGACTGTTAATCCAGAGGTTCAGGTAATGTTCTGGGGACCTGGGTTCGAATCCCACCACGGCAGGTGGTGGAACTTGAATTCAGTAAATATCTGGAATTAATCATCTAATGATGATCGTGAATCCATTGTTGAATGATGGAAAAACCCATCTGGTTCACTAATGTCCTTTAGGGAAGGAAACTGCCATCCTTATCTGATCTGGCTTATGTGTGACCCCAGACCCACAGTAATGTGGTTGACTCTTAACTGCCCTCTGGGCAATTAGGGATGGGCAATAAATGCTGTCTAGCCAGCGATGCTCTCTTCCTGTGAACAAATAAATATTAAAAAAAAAACTTACTTCTTATGATCCATAAGTAGCTTGGAACACTCCTTGACAATTCAGCAACGACTTGCATTCATGGTTTTATTTTTATGTAATGAAGGTCCAAAGATGCCTCAAATAGGGGCATTATAAAATAAAATTTGACATCAAGCCACAAAAGAAGTTGAGGTAAATAGAAATTTTTAGAAATGTCATAAAGAACGAAGCATGAGTGGTTTGGGAAAAGAAATTGCTTGGGGCCCATACAATTTGACTGCGTAGCTACAGGTGCTGGATTATTTAAAATCAAGAGTTCTTGAGACCAGAATTAGAGCAAATTGTTATTCACTACTGACTGTTCTGCCTTATCAGTGAAGTAATAATTATTCATGTGAAATAATTGCACAGAGGCTGGTATCCTGTAACCAAGTCACCCTTTATTTACTTGTGAATATTGCACTGGCTTTGACCAGCCAGCTCGGAGTCAGTCCCTGAAGTGAGGGCATTCTGAACCCCCTGTTCAAATTTTTCTTACTGAGGAGATTCTAATCTCTTGTATAACAAGTGAAAGGGAGTGCAGGGATCAAATCAAAATAGAATTGGAAGGGGAAATAAAGCACTCCACTTCCTGCAGTGCCCACCTCTCTCTCAAAGCATCAAGAGTGCTGGTGGACATCACATGCTCCTTTTCCAGGGACACCTAGGCTCAAATAAAGCTGCAGAAGAGAGGCAGGTGGTCGGTATAATTGACCCCTTATTGGCCCGCGCCCTGGACCTGTTAATGGCCAGTTTGTCCAGGCCTAGGAGCAGACTCACGAGAAGATCCTCTGACCTGCCCACTCCCCTTCCCACCAGGTGTCCAAAGAACAGGAGCATGGGGCTGAAGTGCTACCAAAAGCAGAGGAGAAGGTCTTTGAGGTAACTAAAAAGTGAGTGTAAACACCCACATGCCTTATACACATGGTCCATGGATTCCACAGCACCACAAAACAGTTGGGCTGGGTGTCCGTGAACCACTGCAGCCTGCGGTTGCACGGGACTGCTACGTGCCACGCCCTCCAACTTAGATTCCTGTGGGAAAGAGGGAGGACTCCTGTGCAGGGAGCCCTCCACTGGGGGTCTCCACTGCCCAATGATGAGTGGGTATGGTAAAGCGTATCCAGGTGGTGGATGAAGGAGAAGTGGATGGCGTGTAGCAGCAGTCTGTACAGGGCCCACTGTTTCGCCCCTCTAAAATCCATTCTTTGTTCTGGAGGAGGCTCAGGTTGTGGGGCACAGGCTTCCGGGGGAGGTGTGGGATCCTGGGGCCAATGTGAAATTCCATCTTAGCAGGGGTATGCGCAGATGTGATTCCACCACACACCTGAGCATCCTCCCAACTGCTGCACAATATTGGGTCCAAGCAGCACCTTTTTAAGGCGTTGGAAAACAGTGGTTGCAAACCAGATGTCTACCGCCACCTGCGGCAGCATCCAGTCCAGGCCCCTGTTACCCAGCACATCCCGCACATCCCTGACCCTGGTCACCCCCGCAGCCACAGCCCTCCCCTCCACCAACCACTTGAACCTGCGATTGTGGAGGTGCAGATGCCTGAGCAACGGCTTTCTGATAATAGCCGCTACTCCTGACAGAGGGTAGGCTCAGCACGAGTCGACCGTGTCCCAGGCAGTGATCAGGTCCTGGTAAAAGATGGGCAGTGTCCTGAGGACGACTGCAAACCCTCATGGACAGATCCCTGTTTGTATTTTTTAACTTTTTTTTTATTATTGAGGAGATTCTAATCTCCTGGTTATATTTTTTTTCACTGTCGTCTAGCAGTAGTGTTTATCTTCCCCAGCACACTTGTTGTGCGTGTGCAGGCGTAAGACACAGTACAAAATACCAGGTGTGCAAATAACTTTATTAACATACCACCACCAGGAAAATTACCTATGTGACCAGAGCATTCCCTGTTGATACTGGTCAGCCCGGGCTTCCTGATTTGGCCCAGGTTAACAACCCCAGTCAAGGATGTCGGAGTCACCGAGGTCCAACTGCTTCTAATCACTGCATCATGCAGGATTTATGCTGTGCTGTTCAGACCTGGCATTATATTTTGGTTCTGTAATTTCTGACTTATTACTGTGTCGTGTTGTGCCTTCCTGTTATATGAGGAACCATGATTATTTTGGGTATCTGTAGCCTACTGTTTTTGCTTTTGCCTCCTTCAAATCAGTGTTAAGAGCTACTTAGTGTTTCTGGAAATGCTCAGCTGCTGTCTTACAACTTTTCCAGAATCTGAAAATCAGACACGTGTGAAATTTCCATTTAACCTTTCCTTTCTGCTGACACAAAGGTAGAAAGATGGACAAGTAGTGTTGAGGAAATAACAAAGCTGCAGAAGGACTTGGACAGGCTAGGAGAGTGGGCAAAGAAGTGGCACATGGAATACAGTTTGGGAAAGTGTGAGATTGTGCCCTTTGGTTGGAAGAATAGAGGTGTAGGTAATTTTCTAAATGGGGAAAGGCTACAGAAATCTGGAGCACAGAAGGACTTGAGATTCCTCGGTTAACGTGCATGCTCAGCTGGCGGTTAAGAAGGCAAATGCAATTTAGCATTCATTTCGAGGGCTAGAATTCAAGAGCAGAAATGTACTGCTGAGACTACGTAAGGCTTTGGCCAGACCACGTTTGAAATATTATGAGCAGTTTTAAGGCTGTAGCTAAAGGTGGATGCATTGGAGGGTTCCAGAGGAGGTTTGAGATGATTCTGTAAGTGAAGGGCTTGCTATGAGGAGCAGTTCAGGTCTGTACTTGATGGAGTTTAGAGGAAGACCTAATTGAAACTCTCAATACTGAGAGACCTGGATAGAGGGGACGTGGAGAAGATGCTTTCAATATTAGGAGAAACCAGGACCCAAGTACACAGCTTCAGAGTGAAGGGATGACCCTTTAGGATTAAGATGAGGAGGAATTTCTTCAGCCAGAGGGTGGTGACTCTGTGGGACTCATTGCCGCAGAGGGCTGTGGAGGCCAAGACATTGAATGAATCTAAGACCAAGATAAGTTCTTGATTAATCAGGGAATCAAGGGTTATGGGGAGAAGGCAGGAAAATGCAGTTGAGAAACCTATCATCCATGATTGAGTTTGCTCCACAATTCAATGGGCTAATGGCCTAATTCTGCTCCTATATCTTATGGTCTTATGATTTGAAGAGTTATTTTCCAAAAAGTAAACGAATCTTTCCGATCTACAGTTTTTCAACTTGCATTCATTGGTAGTTTGGTCAATTCTAAATCACTTCAGTTGAGCTTTAATTCCTGATTTAAACATTTAATCCGAGCGAACTCTCTAGTGCTGCAATGAGTGGAAACAACTTCCAGATGTCATCCATTAGATGTTAAATTAAGACCAGTCATATTATTGCATCAATTTTGGGTGTATTTTAAAAGATTAAATTCTGCTATTCAAACATCATTATCTGTTCTTCAGTCAGCACCACAAGAAACAGAACAGCTGATCATTCAATTCATTTTTATTTAGATATTGCAGCTGTGCTTGCTTACTTGGCAACTATGCACTTATAAGTAGTTAGTACCGAAAAGCAACTCACACTGTGGTAATCTTTCATCCAACACTTGTCAGGATAATTCTCAAGAATACCAGTTTAAGGGGAAAACTAACAATTTAAAACTGAGTGGAGCTTGCTTTGTTTAAAACTTGAACCCAGGCAAATTGATTCATCAAATCGTTTCCTGAGAACGAACCAATGAATGGCTCACTGATTTTTGTTGAGTTGAAATGCATCTGTGATCTTCTTGTCTACAAAGAACTGAACACTGTATTTTGACATGGAACTTCCAGTACACGCTGTAGTGTACAGTGCTAAATTGGTTTGCAGTATTTTTTTATATGTTCAGGATTATGAAGGGCATATACACACACTGCACCTGTTTCAACTCAACAAAATAGGTGACAGCAATTTGTGGTTCATTTTCTCAAGGCAATGACAGTAACCTTGCCTGATTTTAGATTTTAAACAAAACCTTGCTGTTGACTGTCAATCATCCTTAGCTGGTGTCTTCTCGACGTAAAGGCCAATCGCAATCAACTTGCCAACTGTCATGACTCCCTGGGGTGGCATGCTGGAAGTCGATTTCCATTATTCCTAGAAACATCGCAAAAGTTAGTTTTTTTAAAAAGATAAACCCCCAAACCACCTGATTTTTCACTGTCAGATTGATAGAAAAGATGGAACAGGATCTGTACGTAACAAGAAATGACTTTTTACCCGCAACTAGAATCTAATGAATTGTAATAAACTAACTAAATTGTGACAAAAACAGAAGCTGCTGGAAAAGCTCAGTACATTGGCAGCATCTGAAGAAAAAAAATCACAGTTAACGTTTCAGGTCTGGTGATTCCTTTCTCGGAACTAATGGTAGCTGGAAAAGTGTTGGTTTATATGCAGAAAATAGGGAGGGGGATGGGGTAAGGACTAAACAATAGGATTGAACCCAAAGAGAAAGAAGAGCAGAGACAGACAGACGGAGTTGATAACAATCAGGCTGGGAGGGTGAATAGTTGTTAATGGGGACTGTTAGTCAATAACAATTGGTAGTGTATAATGGCAGGCTATGTGATAAAAAGGCCTGGTGTGTGGGGTGGGGTGGCTGGGACATGGGAGGGTTTAGGCCCTAAAGTTATTGAACTCGACATTGAGCCGGGAGGGCTGCACGGTCCCCAAGTGGAAAATGAGGCGTTGTTCTTCCAGCTTGCATTGAGCTTCGCTGGAACACTGCAGCAAGCCTGAGACAGAAGTTGGGCAGGGAACAGGGTGGTGTGTTAAAAGTGGCAGGCAACAGGTAGCTCAAGGTATTTTCTTTTTTGCGAAGCGGTCACCCAGCCTATGTTTCGTTTTCTCCAATCTAGAGAAGACCACATTGTGTGCAGCGAATGCAGTAGACTAGATTCTGGGAGGTGCAGTTGAAGTGTTGGTTTACCTGGAAGGTGTGTTTGGGCCCTTGGATACTGGGGAGGGAAGAGGTAAATGGGCAGGTGTTGCACCTTTGCCAGTTGCAGGGGAAGGTGCTGTGGGTCGTGTTGGGGCTGAAGGAAGAGTGGACCATGGTGTCCTCGACGGAACCTGCAGAAGGTGGACAAGGGAGGGGAGGGGAATATGTGTCTGGTGGTGGCATCTCGCTGGAGGTGGCAGAAGTGGCATCTGATGATCTTCTGGATGTGGATGCTGGTGGGATGGTAGGTAAGGACAAGGGGAACCCTATCGCTGTTGCGGAAGGGAAGAGAAGGTGTGAGGGTGGAAGTGTGGGAGATGGGTCGGACTTGGTTGATAGCCCTGTTGACAACGGTGCTGGGGAATCCTCGGTTGAGGAAGAAGTGAACATTTGGGAGGCTCCCTTGCCGAAGTTGGCCTCATCCAAATATATGCAAAGGAGACGGAAGAACTGAGAGAATGGGATGGAGTCCTTACAGGAAACGGGGTGTGAGGATGTATAGTCCAGGTAGCTGTGGGAGTCGGTGGGTTTATAGTGGATACCAATGGCCAGTCTATCCCCAGAAATGGAAACCGATGTCAAGGAAGGAGTCAGATAGACTAGGTGAAAATGAGGGCAGGGTGGAAACTGAAAGCGAAATCGATGAACTTTTCCAATTCCAAGAGAGAGAGGGAAGCTGCATCAATGATATCATTGATATATCGTAGAAAGAGTTGTGGGTGGAGGCCGGAATAGACTGGAACAAGGAATGTTCCACGTACCCTACGAAGAGACAGGCATAACTCGGGGCCCATGTGGGTACCCACGGCCACCCTTCTGACCTGAAGAAAATGAGAGGAGTTAAAAGAGAAGTTGTTGAGGTTGAAGACGAGCTCGGCCAAGCGGAGGAGGGTGGTGGTGGATGGGGACGGTTCCGGTCTCCGCTCCAGGAAAAAGCAGAGAGCTCTAAGATCCTCCTGGTGGGGAATGGATGTGTAAAAGGATTTAGTGAATTAAATGCACTCTGCAAATTAATACACTCAAATCCTGACACAAGGACAGGCAAACCTATACAGGCCAAAAAAAATGTTAGGCTGAGGGAGAACTATAAAAACAGACCTGTATCTTCGTAGAAACAGGATCCATTGTTTCCCTGAATAGTTCCCCTTGACTATCCTTTTTTTTTGAATCCTTCTATTGGTTTGCAAGAGCCACAGGGTGTCTGTTTGATTCATGATAGCTCTCTGACTTATTCAGTTCAAAAGCACAGCTTGCAGCATCTGTTGAAGGAAAGATGAGCTAATTTTCTTCAGATTTAAAATGGCTTATTGCAGAGAACTGAGAGTTAGGTTGCTCTCGCCTGTTCATAGCCCAAGCCGTTCAGCTACCTGACAACCAATCTCACAATTGGTGGGCAGAGGACTTTTGACATTGGTTTGTGGACTTGCTTTACTTTATTTGTATGGTCTTGAATGTCATCCAGCCTTGCCAGTCCCTCTGTTTTATCTTAAATGTGTGTCTCCCAATTTTGTTTTGTTTCTAGCCCTTTAAATTGCTTGTTTCTAGTTTGAACCCGTGTGGTCCACATTTTCAAACATATCTCTTTGGTTATTGTCGCAATTTCTTTGAGCTGCTGCATGCTAATATTATTGGAAACTTTTAATAACTCTGAATTACACTTAGTTTGAAAGTTCTGGTCTAAATGCATTTTTTTTTTTGTTTTTTAAAATTTATTTTTAATTTTAAACTCTATTGAGTGAAGTTTTTTTTTAAACAATTGCAAGCACGTGTTGAGAAGTTTTTCTCTGTGATGTAGATTCTATAAATGATCTCAATCTTGGAAAGATTACCAACCAGCTTGGGGGTGAAGATTGTCTCGTGGTAAGATTTTCTTGACTTGTTACAAGCTCTGGGCATGTTTTTCCAATAGCAGTATATGCAATATAAATTAGTTGGGGATGTAGCTTTTATGCAGTTGTAAATTTTGAATATTAGCATTAGCTTTCTATCCGGAAGAAAACTGATTGGCCTGATTACACCATGATTCGCAACACCAAATGCTTATTTGTGTATTTTTTTTTCACATTGATAAAAATCAATGTAGATGATATAGAATTTAATCTTAAGGAATTCAGATTGTGTTTAAAACCAGCTGCTGAGTTCAATATGGTATTCTGGTGTTTTGTCATTCACTGTATTTAGCAATGTCTGCTCTGCTTTGTAGACAGTGATTCCAAATGATGGGAATGCTTGCACATCATGCAATGTTTCCTGTTCTCCTGCTGCAGGCAGAAGATCCAATTGCAGTGACTCTGGTAAGTACCATGGTGACTATCTGTCTGTGTGTAAAAAGGATCAGTGAACTTCTTGAATCACCAGATCTGTGCAGAGTCAGTTGACCTCCCACGGTATTGCTGAGGAATCACAGTAGACTTAATTGCTCTTGATTCAGCTTGTACATAGAGTATTGATAAATAGAGGATTGGATTGATGCTCAAGGCCATTCTTTACCCCACCAACACCAACTTTGCATACAGTTCTAATGACCTGCAAACTTTGGCAGTCCAGGCTTGTGCATAGATACTTGATATTTGAAGGAGCGTACAAATTGTCACTGGAACCAAATTGGAACATGGAGTAATTAGCAAATGTCAACAGCATTATCAAAGAATTTAACAAAAGTATGTGCCAAATAATGAATTTAAAAAGTATAGCAGCACCAGAGAGCCCCAGCATCACAGATGTCCATTTCCGTTCACTCCATGTGGTATTAAGAAACGGTTGGAGGCTTTGGATACTGCAAAGACTGTAGGCCCTGACAGCATTCTGGCAATATTACTAAAGATTTTTGCTCCAGAACTTGCTGCACCCCTGCTGTTCCAGTATAGCTACAACACTGGCAACTGATGATGTTGTCAAGTGGGCAACTCATTTGGGCATTACTGGAGCTGTTCTTAAAAACTGTGTGACATTTATGTTTTTAGATAACGATGCCTCACCTGATGAGCAGTTTCGTACTAGACGACGAAAGCGGCATCGATCTGATAGCATTTCCCTCCATTGGGATGATCTGTCTTTGTGTCTGATAAGCAAGTTGCGTCGTGAGCATGGAAACAGTGAATCGTCTGATTCTCCCAGCCATCTGGTTTGTAAAACATCAACATTTTGGAATTTGAATCAGTAACTTTGAGATGAAACTTATTGGATTATTTATTTGATTCTCTAGCTGTGAAGTGTAGTTATTAATCCAGGTCGAAAATCCCATATTTGAAAACTCAACTGTTTTTCAGATAAAGCATATTCTGATAGGTCCATTCAGGCCCTTTGGAAAGAAAACTTTGCTTGTCCTAAGTGGACCTAAAAGTGAACTTCTTTTCCAAAGGACCCAAAAAGACCTGTAGACATGTTGAGTTTACGCCCTTTGGAAATAACGTTGCTTTTAGTCTATTTGGGTCTGCTTTTGAAAAGAGCACTTGGTTTATTGATCTTTTTGGTTTACAGGTATGTAGATAAAGAATACCTGACCTGTACTCTACTTAATTGGTAGAGTAGCTAAAAGTATAAAGCAAAATACTGCAGATTCTCGAAATCTGAGCTGTGAGGTGATCAAAAACACTTGGCATCTGTGAAGGAAACCAGCTACTTAATGTTCTGATCTTTCTTTGAGACACGGTCATTTTGAAGAATAGACTTGTATCCAAAATGCCTATGGTCTTGTTGGGTCTTGTCCACATATTCTACTTTTTCACAGTACAAGGAGCAAAGTTCCTATTCTATTTGAATTCAGCACATTTCTGCAGTTTTTGACAAGAAAGTAGATTTACGAGCACAATCCGATCAGCTGTGATCTACCTGAATGGCACAGCAAGCCTGAATGACCAAATGGTCTACTCTTCCTCCTAATTCATGTGTATGGTTGTATGTAAACTCTCAGAATTAAACCTGATTTAATAGATCATAGCTTTGTTTCAATGTCATTTTATTGAAAACATTCACAAGTGTGTGTACTTTTAACAGAAAGTGTAATATTTTTAAAATAAAAATGTGCACTGTGCAATAGACAAAGATGTTGGTAAGATTTAATTGCAAACAGCAGAAAAGGATTTGCATTCACAGCGTTTCTTTTCTCCCAGCAATAGCCTTACAATTACTGATAAATCTTCACTGAGAGTTTTACTAACTAATTGCCCAGGCTGGCACAGCTATGACTTGTTTTCCTTCTGATGAATTTTTCTATGCAACAAGGTTCCCATTATCTTGAATTCTCATGGAACCAGTGATCAATGGACCATCCCCCTTCCCCTCACCTCCCCTTTCACACATGTATAACATTGATAACTCCTAATCTACCTGGATTTTTCTGGGTACTCATGGGATCCTGTCATTTAAACAACACATCTTTTTTATTGTACTAAACTACTAATCACCAGTTTTTCACTTCAAGGGTTATAAAAATGCGTTAAACATGACTGAGCCAAATGGATCACTGGTCTTCTCAGTACCAAGCTCACAAGAGCAACTCTACAAATGAAAGCACAAAATCAACTTTAAATGTACACATTGTTCCCAGATTTTTTAAAAAGAAAATAGTTGAAGGTCAATGAGATCAAACTCCGTTGATTTAAAAAGTAGAATGTTATATTTTGGATTTTTTAAAAATATGGTCAAGCGCTCAGTGCTGTGCAAGAGGTATCTATTTTCAAGCAACAAGAATATGCTATCCTTTTGTGAATTTTTACCTGTATTTTAGATGGGTTTTTGTTTATTTTTGCTGCTCCTTAGGTTCTAACTTGGCTGCTTTTCTGTTGCAGGATATTCATATTGGTACAGAAGGTGAAGATTCCAGCGATAAGTTTAGTGTTGAGTTTGAAGTTGAATCAGTTCACTCTGAAGATTATAGTGATTTCAGTGAGGATTCACAAGACCAAAGTGACAAAGAGGCAAGCTTCAAACAACAAATTCTTTTATTTTCAAGTGATGATTGAAATCAAAGATACTAAGCGTAGCTATTTTGCAGATTTATGAAGTTGCCATTTTTGAAGCTGCTGACAGTGATGAGAGCACTTTTGTTGAAGAAATTGATCCAGAAATATCTGAAGCTGTAAGTTTATGGTTTCTTTTTAGAATTTGGAGAAGCTGGCATTTTTGTTTTGCAATATTGTTATCCCTACATTTGATCACTCTCTCTTCCTGCTCCGGCATTCACACATTAACCTTCCCCTCCCACTCCTCCTCACTACCCATAATTCCTTTTTTGAGCAACAACACTAATTTAACAGGTTACTGCTCTGACTCGGGTAACAGCTGTTCACTTGTGTTATTGAACAGATGCTAAAGGTTTTCTCTTCAAACTGAATAATTTTTTTTGGTACTGAGCCAACTGGGTAGCACATCCTCAGTGGTAGGGTACATAGCTTGCATTTAAGTTTATGCTAGACATATAGCATTATTTTTTTTGTCTCCTTCCTTATGTACTTCACTGAAGCAGAGATAACCAACTAAATAACAAAGGTTAGCTTGTACTTGTACTACTACATCAAATCTGCTACATCTTCTCAGTGATAAAAGGTAATGAGTAACATTATTTAGTGGCGTTTTTCTATACTTCAAACAATAGCCTTACAATAATAATATTCAATTGCAGGATTATTGGAAATGTTCCAGATGTGAAGAGCTGAATCCTCCATTGCCACGCCATTGTCATCGATGCTGGTCTGTGCGCCAAGATTGGCTTCCTGATAAACCTAAACTTCAGCATTTTGACAAGATGCAGGATGAAGGTATTGATGTTCCTGATTGCAAGAAACCACCACTTGAGTCAAAGAAATCAAACTGTTCGGATTTAATCAGTGAGGTCTCTCAATGCTCAGAGTCACAAGAAACTGAGTGCTCGGAACCTTCTACTTCTGGTAGCTTCAACTGCTGCAGCCAGGAAATTGAAAAAGAAAGTACAGGCAAGGGAGAGAAAGGCGAGTTAAGCCCTGTGGGACCTCTGGAGGCTTGTGTTATATGTCAGGCACGACCAAAGAATGGTTGCATTGTTCATGGTAGGACTGGCCATCTTCTCGCTTGTTACACTTGTGCAAGGAAACTGAAAAAAAGAAACAAACCATGTCCGTTGTGCAGAGAGCCAATCCAACTGGTTGTATTGACCTACTTCAGTTAAATGTAATTATTTATTTATTGGTTTACATTTAACTTTTCTTGAGGTGGACACTACTTCCAAAAAAGTAAATTTCTGATTGCTACAATTTGAAGTAACAAACTATATGTTGGCCAAGGTTTTAAATAATACCACACTTTGTCAAGCAATCCATCCTTTGTTCCATTATATTTAATTAGGTGCTTTCTAATGCTAACATTCTTTCAAAATGAACTTATGCAAATGTTTGGCTACCTCTTCACTTCTTCATCCTAGTGTTGGAGAATCCTTGTGGAGTAATAAGAACTTACTGAAGAATGTGATTTTCTATTTAATAGGATTTCATGTATTAAAAGTTCCCATTTTAACTGTGTAATTTCCTCTTCAACTGGGTTACATAAATTTCTTGCTTTCATCTGTTATGATAGATGATTATTTATACAAAAATATTGAGCTATCTTTCTTTATTTGTTTGCACAGTTCAATTGAGAATAATTATACAATGAAAATCTGCTAGTCCCTTGCTAGATCTACAGGTTAGCTTGTACAGATGTACAGATTTGTATAGTGTGTTGCATGCACTAGGGCAGTTCACGGTCAAATGAAGTATATTTGAACTTTAGTTTTCTGTTATGTATAAAACTATAATTTATTTGTTGATGTCTAATTTCTTAAAGTTTAGGTTTAGATTTCTAACCTTAATTAAAATTACAAAGCCTCAACCTTGAAGATGGAAAGATCCATATCTGATATTCTGAAAAGTTTTTCTTTGGTGCTCCACTGATTACACTACGGTTTAACCAGGAATGATGTTCAATCCATTGCACTGCATAAAATAAGGTGTTAGAAAAATCAAAGAATGTTAACAATGCTTTTAAGAACTGATGCTCTGTGTGCTTTGAAGTTGATACAAGTATTATCTTGGACCTCTTGGGACATTTGCATAGGTATTTTGTTACTGTGAATGATTGGGGCAACTTTGCCTTGATGGGAATTACCTGAGCATGTAAACAGCTGAAAAAAAAATTGGAGTCTTTTAACAAAAACTATATTCACAGAAAATTTCATGCATTTTTGTCTGCATTCCAAGTTATGGTCCTAAAAAGAACTTAATTTTTGCCTTTCTGATGAAGTTTGAAGTTTGTAATTCTTGGTGCCTTGTTGCATTGTCTCACACCTTTTTTTTACTCAAATCAAATGGCAATTTTCATTACACAGGAATTTGTCAAAGTTACTGATTTGGTATCTGCTGATTGTTACTTTGGGTTTGCTCATGTCAGTTCTCCTGTGATATAGTCTGTAAATAACCTATTGATCAACCATTTGTGTAAAGTGTATAAACCTTGGAACATTTACTAATGAGATTACAAAATCCAGATATATTTTAATATCTTTGAACTTCTGAATGATTGGTGTTTGTAAAGCTAGCGTGTGATTTTTTTTTTAATATTATGGACAGGACAACTGGGGTTCTATGCCTGCTCTGCCTGAAATAGCAGATTTTTAGATAGTTGCTACAGTTGACTCTAGTGAACAATTGGCTGTGACCCCTGATTATCACCCAACAATCCACATTTACAACCTGATTGAGCCTAAGTAATTCACCAAAATGAATTATTTAATTTGCAAAGGATTTTGGCCACTTGGGCAAGGAACCACAGAACAAATGGAAATGTACCCGAATAGCAGACAATGACTTGGTCAAGGGAAAACTTAATGTCTTTGTTACCACATTCTAAATTGTAGAAATGTAAAGGTTTTTTTTTTGGTTCAGGCTCTTGAGAAAGAATTTTGCTCTGTCACAGTTGTGCAATTTCCTTAATTACAAAACATTGCATAATTTTTGCCTCGTTTAGAGCAGTCCAAGTTAGACTACTTGTGATTTTATTTCACCTATACTATGTTTCTCACATTTGTGAAACGAAACGGATTCTAAATTAGGCAAACAAAAACAAATCGCTGGAAAAGCTCAACAGGTCTGGCAGCATCTGTGGAGAGAAATCAATGTTAGCATTTTGGGTCTGCTGACAGTTCTTCATAACCCACCGGCCCTAAAATGTTAACTCTGATTTCTCTCCACAGCTGTTGCCAGTCTCTGCTGAGCTTTTCCAGCAATTTTTGTTTTTGAGTTCTTTCGAGTTTTTGTCTAAATCAGGCAGTATTGCCTGAACTGAGGTCAAATTATTGTTTTTAAAAAATTAGTTTTGTAAATAGTTTTAATTGCCCAACATGGTTGGCAGTTACCTTGAGCCCGAGTCAGAAACAACAACCATTCACTAATTTTGAGATGATATCTAATGAAAGGTTTTTTTTTTTAAAGCCATTTTTTTCCATGAGCAAGAGGTGCATGGGATTTGAAGTGACTTCACAGCATTTGGATAATTGAGGGAAGAGAAGCTTGAGTTTAAATTCCAGGCAATATGATTGCTTTTCTAAGGCTTTGGAGTAGATTTGTAGCTCGGGTTGTGGGTGTTGAGGTTGGTTGGCTCGCCAAGCTGGTTTGTTGTTCAGCAGACGTTCCGTTACCGTGCTTGGTAACATCCTCAGTGCAGCCTCTGATGAAGCGTCGGTGTGTTTTCCTGCCTGGTTTGTTAAACTCTGGGGTCCGTTGCGATGGATTGCCTCACTTCCATGTTTCCTCCGTAGTGGAATCCATCGCAACGGACCCCAGAGTTTAAAAACCAGGCGGGAAAACACACTGCTTCATCAGAGGCTGCACTGAGGATGTTACCAAGTGCGGTAATGAAATGACTGCGGAACAACAAACCAGCTCGGTGAGCCAACCAACCTCAATGATTGCTTTTCCCTTAAAGATGTTTTTTGTGTTACTAGTTCTCTATCAAACAACAATTATCTATAGAAATAAACAGCTTTCACATTATCCATTAAAATATATTACAATTGCATCATAACTAGAAACATCACCATTTTATGCCTGTGAAGTCAATGAATATTTGATTAGTTGATTTTTGGCTGAAATGAACAGGCCTTGGTCAGAACACAAGACACCTTGAAGTGAGGAACAGACTGCAGTGTGAAAAACTCAAAACAATACTTCTATGCTGCTTTTTTAATATTGAAGAACAATTTCAAGAAATAATTCTGTAATGCAGAGTGTTACTTTGCACTACAGTCGAATCTCATTTCCTACAGTCCAAAGATGTGCAATCTAGGTGGATTGGCCATGGAAAATGCAGGATACAGGGTTAAGGTAGAGGGGTGGGATGGTCTCGGAGGGTCGGTGTGGACTTGATGCGCCAAATGGCCTCCTTCCACATTGTAGGGGTTCTATGAATCTACTGGGTAGATCTGTGTGTTGAAGAATGGAATTGCTGGATAGAGGTAATTTGGAAAACAGGCACTTCTGGATGTGCATAGGTGAAATAAGTACAACTTAAAACTGTCAAACATTTGCATAACTCAAATAGCTAGCAAGCAAAACAGCTACCGCTAGCCAGAAAAAGTGGCTGCTTGGGTCTCAAATAAATATAGCCAGGGCTTGTTTGGAGCATAGAAAAGTCCAGCACAGGAACAGGTCCTTCAGCCCATCATATCTGTGTCAATCGTGGTACTGTTCCAAACTAATTTGTCTGCACATGGTCCATATCCCTTTATTTCCTGCCTGTTCATGTGTTTGTCGAGATAACTCTTAAACATCTCTACTGAGTCTGCATGTAGTGCGTTCCATTCATCTGCCACACTCTCTGTCTTTTTTTTAAAAAAATAAGTTTGCTTGCATATCTCCTATGGTCCCTAGCTTTTGACATTTTCACCCTGGGAAAACAGCTCCAACTATCCATCCTCTCCAAACCTGTCACAATTTTTATAAATTTCTTTCCGGTTGCTCCCTCAGCCTCTGACACTACAGTGAAAACATTCCACGTTTGTCCAACCTTTCCTTAAAGCTAATATACTCCTATCCAGTCAACATTCTGGTAAACCTGTTTTGCACCCTATCCAAAGTCTCCACATCCTTCCTTTAGTTAGGTCACATTTAGAATATTGTGTGCTGTTCTGGTCACCACACTAAAGTTTTTTTTTTTATTTTATATACCTCTGCAGCATGACTTGCCAACTTTTATACTCTGTTCCCTGGTTGGTGAAGGCAAGCATGCTGTACACGTTTTTTACCATCTTATCCACTTGTGTTGTCATTTACAGAGAGCTGTGGGCTTATACCTCCCCAAGATCCCTTTGTATATCAACACTCAAGGCTCCTGCCATTTACTGTACACTTTCCTGTTGCATTTCACCTCCCAAAATGCATCATCTCTCACACTTGCTCAGATTAAACTCCATCTGCCATTTCTTTGAAACTTGGGCAAACTGATCTATATCCTGCTGTGTTTCCTGATAACCTTCCTCACTATTCACAACTCTGCCAAATTTCGTGTCATCTGCAAACTTATTAATCAGACAGCCGACATTTTCATCAACCTATACAAACTTAAATCACTGAATTCCCTTGAAGCAAATATTGCCACCTTGTTTTATTTTATAATTCAATCTCTGGATTGATGGTTACTGATGCTAACAGTATAGTATTATATATGATATAAAAAGGGAATTTTGCCTGTGTGAATGTTTTTAGAAGTGTTGCAGTATGGAAAGAATGAGCAAACTGCCGTCTTTCGTCTGTGTGTCTCCATCTCTCTTACAAACTATCTCTAGCCCAGATTTACATTGTAGGTGGGATGTTTTCCAGCTCTGCAAACCTGTTCTGGGTTGATGGTGTTCCTTTAGGAGGCGCAGCAATCAATCCCAGCATATGAACGGAGGTCTCCTCCTTGCTCTGGTACTACACTAGTTTAATAAAAAGACAGTAAATTCAAAAACATCCCTTCAACCCTCATGCACCTTTCTTACCACCTCTAATGCTCCTCCACCCATTCCTATAGCTCCTCCTAATCCTAGCCCCTTGATGCTACGTTACTTTTCCCCCATAGCCCCTTATACCACCTATACCTCTCTAGCCAGCCCTCGTGTTTTCTTATACCTAAAGTATCCCCAAACCATAAAAATACCAAGAAAGCTTTGTTGGCTTAGGGACATCTGCAACGCAAATGACGGCACATACTCAAGACATTCTGAAGTTTGAAGTAGACGATCAGTAGGATGGCCAAACATTCGCTTCAAGGATGCAAGCCTCTAAACAACTATTGCATCTGGGTATCATCAAAAGAAAATGGATATACCTTCTGTGTGCTAGCATGCAACATCATGACCAGTAGCAACTTGCCAACAGTGACACCTGATAGCCTCTTAAGCAGGACAATGGCCTCTCAATGTCTGGCCCCCTTAGTTATCAGCAAAGGCGCACCAAATGAAAAAATCCACCTCCAAAAGACTTTACTGCATGTCTATCATTTGTCATAGGAAGAAGAATTCCAAAGAAATTATGCTTTGAATATACAATTCCTGGGCTATTAATAGAAAATAGAATGGAATAAAATGATAGAATAAAATAACAAGTGAAAAATTTAGAAATCTGAAATCATAAATAAACTGTAGTCCTGAGGACAGCAGTCTGCACATTCTTATGATTTGTAGGAAAACAATTCACTGCTTTCCTACAATGTTCCATAGGTATTTCAAAACACAGACTTCAATCTTGTCAAAGTATCTGTTACATGGTGTTTATCAAATGCTTTATG